TCCTAGCAATTACGAGCAACTCTGTACCTTGAGTCAAGCCAGAAGAGAGGCAGGTTTCTCTTGCAGGCACGTCCATGTTGTGGAGATGCAACTCAGATGTGCATCAGCAACGTAAAGGTTTTTGTGCAAAACCATTGTGTGAGGCAGCAGCGTGCGTGCTGTGGGGGTTCGACTTCTGTGGCCCTGAGCCCCTCTGCTGTTAATAATTTGGTTTTAGAGAAGCCTGCAATATTTTATGAGTCCCAGTAATGAGTATCAGCTGGAGGAAAGCATAACAAAACCCCGTCCTGCTGACCAGAGAACTAGCGAGGGAGAGAAAGAGAAACAGAATGAAACCACTAAGATTAAAACCGGAATCCGGATCATCAAATCCCATTTATTGCCACATCTTTTCAGATGGCAAAAACCCTTAGGGGAGAGTATATATGAAGGATGCTGTTGCAAGGAAAAATCTGGGAACATTTTGCTACGTGGACAAGCCTCTTCTTGTAGTCTTCTGAGTAAGGCACATGCCAGTAAAGAGGGATGCCGTAGTGACAGCTTACCGTTAAAGGAACTTGGTAGCGTGACGTGTAGTGTGGTGGAAATGACAAATGTTCTGCTGATGCTTCTTGCTGTAGACATACTGGTATCAGTGGAGCTGTGAGTATTTGTATTAGCTAAAGGTCTGCACTATAATTTGTGGAGTGGTTGGTTTCTTGCAGAGTTTCAGGTGTTCTGTTTCTCAGCAGCACACAGGTTCCTATTTTATCTCCTACTTGCCTGGGGGGATATTACTGCAGGGGCTGTAGCACTGGCATGAAACAAGTGTTTCATTGCCTGTTTTTGTGAGCAAAAAGAAAATCTGCTTTTAAAAAGTTCACTGCTTTTTAATGAAAAAGTGCATTCCTAATTGGCTAAGAAATAAGTAGTTTGAGGGTAGAGAAAAATAATTCCTTTTTTAAGCAGAGATGTAAATTTACTCATGTTGACCAAAGCTCTGTATATGCAGGCATTTAATCTCTCACAGTTTTCCTCCTGTGAGAAGTCTTTTTGAAGCTGATTGAATTAATCCTATGAGTAAAGTTGGTACCGCAGCTGATCCTAGGTTGCTTTTTCTCTCTGATTGAACATTTAGACCCCAAATATTAGAATATAAAATCCTTCAGAACACAGGATCTACTAATCTTAAAAAAAAAAAAAAAAGTACTGCCTACAGTGGGAATTTGTAAAGTAGATATTCTTCCTCCTCATTGGAATAATAATAAATAAATAAACTACAAGTAGTTTGAATCTTCTTGCACCTTCCAAGAGTTTTACTGCCACATTTTCCTGTTTTCTAAAGTACTTTTCTGCTGTGTTGTGGTTGTACAAAAATAATGGGAGGCCTTGATTGTGCAATAAGCTCCAATCAGTTGGACCGTGGGCCACCCACAACTCTGCTAAAGCCATTGCATTTGGGAACAAAATTCTTGGCAGAATTGGAGCCTAAACATACCAAACACCCAGGAGGATCAAACTATTATTTTACATAATTAGGTTATAAAATCTCCACTGTACTTCATTCCTGTCTCATTGACTGTTTGTAACAGCAGCAGGTGAAACATTTCCAGATTGAATCTTTTTTTTAAGTTGAAAATGTAGCTGTAAGGTTAGTGACATAGAACCGGGCCCACCACGTGGGCAAGGCTGAGAGTAAGAAAAACTTTCCCTATGCAGTCAGAATGCCTAAGGAAAGCCTGTTTTGAAGCCTTTTGTGTCTCATTTTCTCCTCTTTATTGTACCCTAGAGCTAAATAAATGTAGTAGGTTATGCCCTCAGCTGGAGTAAAAAAATGTAGGTGTCAATTCCCAGGAAGTGATGACTTCAGTGCAAAAGCGCTGGGCTCCAGGAATGCATATCAGATAAAACTGTAAATATGTGTGTGCAGCCTCTATAAATGAATTGTAGTTCCCTCCACTGCCTAATGCTTTGGTGCTCATTGCTCCCAACTTCACAAGTTTTACGCACAGTAACCTGTTGGGTTGGAACTAGATGATCTTTAAGGTCCTTTCCAACCCAAACCATTCTATGATTCTGTATGCTTGAGTAAGTCAGCGTGTGCAGAAGTGGCCATCAGCTCGACATGTCATCCCGGCATGCTATGAAGCTCCCAGTTGTTTTGGGAAGAAAAAAATATTCCCCATAGTCTCTTTCTCAGTGTAAGCCTGAAAAAGAGGAAGGAGGAACAAGGGATGCTGTGCAAGAGCAAGCTCTTTGTTATCCTCTGCAGAAGATCTGGTGTTTCCTGCCCATCGCTGTGGTTTTGCAGCTTGCCAGAGTCAGGCAGGCGGAAGGGTGCACTGGAAGGATTAGTCTCTGTTGCCTGGGAGAAGTGGGGAGTGCTGGTGTCAGACAGCTCCATCCAGATAACAGTGGTTGGGTTAAATG